AATTATTTGAGAAGTCCTAAGGGGAAACTCTTCCTTAGAACAGGGTGTTTCCTGTTTCGCTGAAGCTATGGCCTGCACTCAAGCGATGCTAGTCTAACCCGAGTATCAGGCTCTATTTTACAAATAATAGCCTGATACAACGCTTAATCCAATCAAGAACGAATACCCTGCCGGGGAAGGAGGTTGAATCCGATTGCTTTCCACCCACAGCAAAGTTTATATTTAACATCCAATGAAAACGTCGCAGGAGAGATTTAAATTTCACACAACGACAACAACAATCTAATTTTATAAAATAACCTTTTAAAAACGCCTGCGCTGATTGGTTGAAAAGCCAAAAATCCCGTGTTTCTATTTGTTAAATAGAACACGGGAATTTTCCACGAACCTCAAAACAACACACTAAAACAAACGTTTTCGCCTGAAATATCTATTAAAAATCTTCGTCAACTTGAAATTTGGTTAAACAAGCAATGGAAAACACTTACCAAACGTTTTTCGCTTTAAATTTTCTTTAAATCAACTTTTTCAGCGTGTTTTTTTTCCATAATTTTGCAGTCAGCAAAACTGAAAAATGATGCCGGTATTGTTGCTAGGCAACATGTTCTTGTTATTGTGTAATGAGAATATACTTTTTAATCGCGTTAAAAATATTGTTTTTGTGTTATTATCACAAGGTTATTTAATAAAGGAAATAGAAAACATTTTTTCCTGTGTTCCTATAGAGTTATAGAAGAGTTATAGAAACACTTGTGCTAGTTTGGGAGAACTCAAAATAACGTGGAAACACTCGCACTACGTGTTCGTGTTCCCACTGATTATTTCTCGTTCTCCCAAACTAGCACGCGTGTTTCTATAACTCTATAGAAACACGATAAATGTTTTCTATTTCTTAAATAGTTGTGATCACTATAAAATATATCACTATAGTAGTATAATCTAATTACCACACCAACCAATCAAATGACAGATTAAAAAATCTTTTGTCTCATAGACCAATCAGATTTACAACCGAAACACGGTTGTACGGCATGGACTTTTGTTAAGGTTTGTATCAGGCCTATTTATTTATTTATAGGCCTGATCGCAGGTTAGTGCTGACGAAGCTTGAAAACCTAAAACTGGCCTGACACCAGAAAACCTCTGGCTCTGAACCCAGGGTAGGGTAACTCAGTATATACAGTGGCGTAACGGAGGAACAGGGGATCTTTAGACATATTTAGCTAGCTGAAGCAGGGTTGAAATTTCAACCGCGGGGTTGAACTAGGTCCTGGGTTGAAATTTTTGTCATGTAATCGCGCGTTTGATTTTGATAGAGTTTTGTATTACAGACAGGGTTAAATTAAATTCAACCCGGTCAGCAGGGCTAAGTTCAACCCCGGGGTTGGAAATACTCCATGCCATCGACCCCTAATAAGAATAACATTTGTTTTATTTATGATGGAATAACAAAATCAGTTACCGTTGTTGATGGAGGCTTTATTCTTTTAATAGCGTTATTAATTTTGCATTTCCCATTGATTTTTGACCTGCATTATTTACGTTTTCTAATTTTCTGGCTGATAGGCCGTGGCTGATGGGGACCCTAACTGTCGGAGGCACATAGTTTTTCAATTAACCCTACCTAATGAGCGTTACGCCATTGAGTATATAATCCCAAAGTTAAGCCCGAGTTTAGCAAACCGTCGCATGCAGCTACCCATGGACATCTTGAGTAACAAATTTTCACTTTTTGTATTTATTTACAGCTTGGATAAATATAACAATTTTCATACAAGCAAATATTCATACAATGCAAAGATGGGGACACAACAACAGCTTATATCAAGGCAATTGCTGTGGGCCCATATATTGACACAAAGCTTTAATAGTTATCTAGAGCATTTTTTGGGGTTGCTGCGTTGCTCTCTCGCTCGCTGGAATAATGTTAATTTGACTGTAATTGTATTCTTTAGATTTAGATGCGGTCAATGATGATTATAATAATAATAGCGTTCAAAACTCTAATTCATCAGACGGCGCTCAACTTCATGATAAAACTGTTGATAATGTGGAACAAAAAGACATCAAAAGCGGAAGTATCGCTGATAAAATTGCGCCTGCAGAACAATTATTAATCTTGGGACGTTCTTACCAAACGGAAGGCCGAATTGAGGAGGCTATCAAAAGCTACGATCAAGCAGTTCTAATTGTGGATGAAACAGATCACGGCAATAATATCAAAGCGAAAGCTTATCAATTGTTGGGAAATGTATTTACTGGAACTTCCGAATATATGAAAGCAATCGAGTATTATCAGAAGGCACGTGAAATACATCCAAGCCTCGAAGCAGATGAGATAGAAGTAGTAGCATATCAATGGCTAGGTTACAACCACCTGCAAGCTGGTCAGTACCAAGAATCAATAGAGTATTACAACGAAGTCGTAAAACTTGCCTCACAGCTTGGATGCAAAACGAGAGAGGTCAATGCTACTTTGAATCCTCAGAAAAGTATTTCTTAAAAGCCATCACAGTGGCAAAACAGCTCAATCACAAAGGTCTTGAAAGAGTAGCTCATACAAACCTAGGACATGTACAATACAAAAGTTGTCAGTTTGACGCAGCTGTCAAATCTCAAAGCTAAAGAAATTTCTCACGATCTTGGTGATAAGAAAGAAGAAACCAACGCCTGTCTAATGCTCGGTGACACCTTTGAACTACTGAAGCAATACGGGAACGCGGCTGAATCTTACCAAAAAGCGCTAAATATTAGTAAAGAATTGAAAGATAAAGAAGTGCAAGCGAATGCAGTTCAGAAATTAGGATCTATTTCTTTCAATATTGGTGAATACGAAGAAGCACTTAAGTATTCCAAAATTCTTGTGGAATTGATAGAAAACCCAGACCATCGTGGGATCAAACAAGCTCTTGCTCAGAAACGATTGGGAATGTGTTATGCTTACCTTGGAAGATTCGAAGAAGGTCTAACATGTTTTAAAAAGGCTTTGAAATTAGTTTGTAATCATTCTGAGAAAGCTGTAGAGGGAGTTATTAATGAATGGTGCGGATACTGTAGCCGCTTTATTACTGGTAAAGATCAAGAAGCAATAACATTTTATGAGAAAACGAAAACAATTGCCAAACAAGTTGGAAAGAAATATGAAGAATACCGTTCAAATCAAGCAATTGGAAATATTCTAAGTAATACGGGTGATTATTTGAAGGCGAAAGAATATTACGAACAAGCGATGGACATTGCCTTGGAACTCAGCGATAAACATTGTGAAGCAACATCATGTTTAAATTTGGCATCAGTTTGTAGTAAAGATTGTGATTACGAAATGGCGAGGAAATGGTACGAGAAGGCATTGGATATTCTTGGAGCAGAGCGCAATGATCACCTCTTGCATGAGAAGGCTCTTACTGGCTCGGGAGTAACCCTCTTCAATCTTGGAGATACCAAAAAGGCCATTAAATTGATCCAAGAAGCTCAAACGTTTGCAAAGAACAAAAACGACACAGGTAATTAATAATATTTATAATTACATTTTCTATTTTGTGGGAACACAACGTTTATTTTTTAAGAAGCTTTCAATCCATAAGTCTAGATCGTCATTAGTGTAAATAATGTAACGTAATTATTTCAGAATTTGACAGGGGAATGATTATTTTACCTATTTTTCTAGAATCTACCATATACTGTATAGTTTTAGTGTAGATCGATTTCAAAAATGTCCTTTTAATTAATTAACAGATTTCAACACATTGCATAGAGTAACCATAAATTGTATCTAGAATTTATTAAATGAATATTATTTTTGAAATATTTTTTATTTTTTCTTTATATTTAGATTGCAATGAAGCTCACAGTACGCATGCTCAAGAAAAGTCGCCAAGGCAAAAAACAACGTTGTTGCAAGTAGAAGGTAAATTTATTGACTAGTTTCCGCAATTACTAGAATACTACTATACTAGCTAATACGATTACTGTGATGTACGGGTCAGAGACGGGGAACTGGGGAGATTCAAGATGGCGTGACTGAGTGAAAGCTTAAATTGTATATTGTATTAAGATTGAATAAAACCGTTGAGTTCGAGAATATTATATTGGCGACGAGGACTAAAATTGCAACAACATTTTACTCTGGAAACATTATAATTGATAAGGGATACGATACACGTTGGATTAGTGTTTTTATCACGTTTGAAATTCAGAAATTGAAATCCGAAAATCGATAAAATCTTGGGAATAATCCATTATGGCGACTGCATTGGATTTGTCAGGTTTGGGAAATTTTGATCCGTATTCGGATCCAACTACATTGTCTTTACGATGGAAAGAAAGGTTACGGCGGTACGAACGGTTTCTGGTTGCTATGGATATAAAAGATGATACTCGGAAACGTGCTCTATTGCTATATGCAGCGGGAAACGAAGTAGAAAAATTTTTTGCAACGTTGTCTGAGGTTGGGGAAGAAAAAGATTACAAGAAAGCGGTTGAAAAGCTGAACGAGTATTTTTTACCTAAGAAAAATGTGTTACTTGAAACCCATAAATTTCGCCAGTTAAAACAAATAACTGAGGAAACAATTGATCAATATTGTACCAGGCTTAGACAACAAGCCATCATCTGTGAATTCTCTAACAGTGAAAATGAGCTTAAAATCCAGCTTGTTGAAGGATGTTTATCATCGCGAGTGAGAAGAAAAGCCATTCAAGATCACTTGAAGTAACAGATAAAGCTGTCAAAACATTAGAAGATTGTGGGCATTTAGCTCCCTCCTCGAGTGCGGTTAATGCTATACATAACCAACAAGACAAGTCCAGTCAGTATCATGAACGAACGAACAGACAGCCACATCAATCAGCAACCCAGTATCCTACAAGAAATCGATACTCCTACCCACTCAAGAATGCGGGCCGAGAAAATTCACGTGAGCAGCAACAGAATGGTAAGAAACTATGTTATAATTGTGGGGAAAATTATTATGCAGGTCATCCTAGTGTGTGTAAAGCAAAGCGAAAATCTGTTTTTTCATGTGGAAAACAAAATCATTTCGCGACTATGTGCCGTAGTCGTCAAAGGAACAATATTCCAGAAAAAGGGGAGAACATTCAAGCCATTAATTGTACTGAAAAGCAATCAAATTCCTCTGATGAAGATTCATATGTTTTTGTTGTTACCCCACCAGTAGAAAATGAGGTTTCCCCAAATTCACGAGCAGTTAAAACCATTCCAGTTATTATTGAAAGGGCCCATGTTAAAATGATTGTTGACACTGGGGCAACAACAAACATTTTAGATTCCAAAGCATTTAATGAAATCAAAAAGAAAAACCCCAGTTTACATTTGCAACCATCAACACACAAAATTTATGGTTACATGCAATCTCAACCTTTGCCAGTCCTTGGGAAATTTGAAGGACTTATTGAGTCAAAACACAGAATGGCTGTTACAACATTCCATGTTGTAAACGGGGACGGTGGGTCATTACATTACAGTAAAGTTATTCCACAGCCACAGAGCTTGATATTGTGAAAATGAATGTGCATGCTGTTGTTACCCAGTCTAGTTCTACATCCTACACCGATCCTCGAGAGGATCATAAACAGTTTGGCAATGAGAACCCAGAAATTCCTAAGAACCATCAACCAGACTCACCAATCATGTCAAAGTTTAAAAAGGAATACCAGCAGTCTTTAATGGCATTGGGAAACTAAAGGGTCATGAAGTACACCTACACCTTAAAGATAATGCTAAACCTATTGTGCAAAAACCCCGAAAGATACCTTTTCATCTCCGTAAACAGACAGAAAATAAACTGAAAGAACTAGAGGAAAGTGATATTATTGAATTCGTTCCATCAGGGACACCTACAACTTTTGTATCAAATCTTGTTGTTGCACCAAAGTCTAACAATCCAGCTAAAGTCAGAGTATGTATAGACATGCGACATATGAACCCAATGATAGAGCGAGAACGTCATGTTATCCCTAATATTGAGGAACTCTTTGAGGACATGGCTGGTGCTACAATGTTTTCGAAAGTGGATTTGACAGCTAGGTTTCACCATTTACTTCTTGACGAGGAGTCACGATCTCTTACCACATTTCACACCCACAAAGGTCTTATGCGATATAAACGTTTATGTTTCGGAGTAAATTCAGCACCAGAGAAATTCCAATATGCTATTCAACAAACACTCCAAGGACTGGAGGGAGTAAGGAACATTGCCGATGATATTATTGTGTGGGAAAGTCCGAAAAAGTCAGAAAACAATCTTATCCTTAATGTTTCTAAGTGTAAGTTTAATGTAGACAGCATTTGGTTCTATGGTTACACATTATCAAAGGATGGCATTTCTGCAGACAAAACCAAAATTGCAGCACTAGTTAACATGAAAGAGCCAGAAGATGTTTCCCAGTTGCGCAGCTTCTTGGGATTGGCAACATATTGCGAACGGTTTATTAATAACCTGGCAACAATCACAGCACCATTACGCGAGTTAACCAACAAAGGCGTTGTTTGAAAATGGACAGGCAGACACCAACAGGCATTCAACAAAGTCAAAGAAGAAATTGCGAAAGATTGTACCACTGCTTTTTATAACCCATCTAAACGAACTCGAGTAACGGTTGACGCAAGCCCAGTCGGATTAGGGGCCATTTTATCACAGTTTGATAGGGACGACAACCAGCGAATTGTTGCGTATGCAAGCCGTAGTCTCAGCAAGGTTGAACAGCGATATTGACAAACTGAAAAAGAGGCGCTTGGAGTTGTTTTTGGTTTTGAGAAAT